TAAATGATAATTGTACGTTAAAAGAAACAGAAAAAGAACAGAAAGTTATTGGCCGAAAAACAGAGAAATAGTGGGGAAAAAACTGTGCAGAAGATAATTTGTTATTTTGACATTACTCACTTGAAAGCCAAACAGTCAGTCAGTTGTTTCTTTTCCTTTTTTCTTTTTTTTTTTCTTTTTTTGGCTTAGATTCATTTAGTTCTTCCATTTTTCAATTCTATTCGACGAATATATTACGCTGAATAATTGGTTATTGCTTCTGCTGTATCGTTGTCATCAACGTCATCGTCAACGTCATTACTGCCAACTGCTTCTTCGTCTTACGCCTTCCGTAATTGTATGCTTCACTTTTTCCACTTTTATCATCTTCCAATCTTTAATCTCTACTTTTGAGCAGTAAAACCAAAAGAAAAAAAAAGTAGTTCAAAAAAAAATTTGCTTTTGAAACTTGTTATAACATAAGGTATTCATAGTGTCTCGATTACCGTCTGTTAATAACAGTATCATTGTAGTATAAATTATACCATCAAAAAAAAGGTAAAATGGGAAAGAGATACAATTTTATTTGAAAAAAAAGTTATTCGTCATTTGTATTGACGTCATATAATTCATAATTCTTGCGATTTTACGTGCTAGTATATTGAAAATTTTCAAAAAAAAGAAAAAGCAAACTTAATCAGTTAAAAGACAATACTGCTGCAACACTGTTACTCTAATAGGTACTGATGAGTAAGTCAAAAATAATGTCATTCATTTTTTCGCGCAAAAAGCAATCAAAACAATACAAATTCATTTATAGCAAATAATAATAATAATAACAATAACAATAATAATAATAATAAATAATAATAATAATAATAATGATAATGATAATAATAACTAATAATAATAATAATAATATAATAATAATAATAATAATAATAATAATAATAATAATATAATAATAATAATAATAATAATAATAATAATAATAATAAGACAATAATAATAAATTAATTTTGAGATTTTTCGGAATCAGCTAATAATAGTAATAATAATAATAATCGTAATACTAAGAATCAATGAGCAAAAAGAAAAGCAAATCAAAAAAATAGAAGAAAAACGGTCAGTCAGTATTAAATAATTGTTTTGATATGTTCTGTGTGACTATCAATACCGATTATTATCTGTTATGTTGGCATAAACGCTTCATTTTATGACCACCAATGACAACAGTCGATTATAGCAGTTGAAACAATAGCAGTATGTAAAATTTCAACCTTTAACTTAGAAATCTATATTTATCTGAGAGCGGTAAAAACCATATAAGACATCATCTGCCCATATACAAATACAACTTGGGCATCCGTTGATGACCTTCTTTGTTGGGAGAGGGAAGAAAGGTGAGAGGCGATAAGATGACTATGGGGTAACGGTGGCAAAGAGAACGAAAAAAAATTGTTGATGCAAAGCCCTGTTGTTGAAGGTATATATTGTATGCAATAATTGTTGAAGACAAATATTCTTATGCAAAAAAGTGTTTTTTTCCCACTGACAACCTATTCGTTCCATTAATTAATTTATAATCCAAATTCTTGTTTTTTTTTAGACTATTTAAAGCACAATAGGAGAAGAGAATGTAGAAGTGAAGACCAAAAAATTGAGACAACACTTTCAGTTACAATTAAACGTCTATACACTTCCTATAACTGTCTTAGAAAGAAAATTGAAAAGAAAAAAATTTGATAAAATTAGGATCTTAAAATGCGGATAACTGATTAGCAGCATCCACCAAAGACAGTAACAAAAACTTAAGCTATACTTTAGAAGATAACAATTGTTCAATTACTGCTAGAAAAACATCACCTTTTTCTACCCATTTGATTTTGTTGCTAATATCAATTGAAAAAAAGAAATCAAATATATAAAAGTAAATTGCTGAATATATAAACCACCAAAAAGAGGAAACAACAGCAAACGACAGCGGCATAAGATGAACAATGGCACATGTAGAAATTTTTTCGCTCTCAGTCTCCAATGTTTAATTTCCAACTCTTTTTTTTTTTTTTTTTTTTTTTTTTTTTTTT